CGGTGCTGCAGACTTCCAGACTCAGACAGTAAGTATGGCGGGTAAGGATTCTTCACAGTACAGAGTACTCTCGTTGGTGCACGATAATAAAGCAGTGGATTAAAAGCTTACTTTTTTTTCCCAGCAGTGCTGCAGACTTCCAGACTCAGACGGTAAGTATGGCAGGTAAGGATTCTTCACAGTACAGGGTACTCTCGTGGGTGCACGGTAATGAAGCAGTGGATTAAACGATTACTTTATCAGCGTTGCTGTATACTTCTGGGCTCAAACAGTAAGTAGAACAGGTGAGGATATTCACAGTACACAGTACTCTCTCTTCAGTTCACAATAGGGAGACAGTGAGTCATAAGGTTACTTTACCAGTGGTGCTGTATGCTTCTGGGCTCAAACAGCAAGTAGAACAGGTGTGGATCTTCACAGTACAAAGTACTCTCTCCTCAGTTCACAGTAGGGCGACAGTGGGTTAAACGATTACTTTATCAGCGTTGCTGTATACTTCTGGGCTCAAACAGTAAGTAGAACAGGTGAGGATATTCACAGTACACAGTACTCTCTCTTCAGTTCACAATAGGGAGACAGTGAGTCATAAGGTTACTTTACCAGTGGTGCTGTATGCTTCTGGGCTCAAACAGCAAGTAGAACAGGTGTGGATCTTCACAGTACAAAGTACTCTCTCCTCAGTTCACAGTAGGGCGACAGTGGGTTAAACGATTACTTTATCAGCGTTGCTGTATACTTCTGGGCTCAAACAGTAAGTAGAACAGGTGAGGATAGTCACAGTACACAGTACTCTCTCTTCAGTTCACAATAGGGGGGCAGTGAGTCATAAAGTTACTTTACCAGTGGTGCTGTATGCTTCTGGGCTCAAACAGCAAGTAGAACAGGTGGAGATCTTCACAGTACAAAGTACTCTCTCTTCAGTTCACTGTATCACTCTGGGCTTCTGACGGAGGCAGATATAATAACCTTCCACGAACGTGTAAGCATGGATGGGGGCCACTTCTCAACAAAGACACAGCACACTTGTGTTCCTTCAATTCCACAGCAATAAATCAATGTGTATCAATAAGGCAAAAGCACTGCAATTCACTCACACGATAGGGTTGGACAGAGGCCCCACTCCGGCCGTTGCGCTCGTTTACAGGGTTTTCACTTTTAATTCCTCCTCATCACACTCTGAAACACATAGCTCCTCCAACAGTCAGATCCACATTCACTGTATCCTCTTCAAGTGGTTCAAATGTTCATAAGATGAAAACAATTCACTTATCTTTCCTCTCTCCTTCCACAGGACAGATCCAGCCCCAGCTCGGTCCAGCAGTCCTCCCACAAACGATCAATCTGACCCAGCAAACTCGAATGGGCGATCTCCACACTCCAACGATTTTTCCAAGGAAGCCTGTATCCAGCACTGCCCAGAGTCAACCCTTTGGAATCTTGACACACTGTACACCCACCAACCGCGCTGCAAACACTCTCTAAATGCTCCTTTTATATTGTGGCTTATGAAACAGGAAGCCTGTGTGAGCGCCGCTCCTCTCTCTCTCACACCTGCAATGCATTAGCGCTAATCAGTACGGGCATGTTTCCATCACACCCGGAACCGTAGTGGAGTGTTGCACCCAATACGTTCCCCTAGGAAACTCAGGACTCTCAAGAAGGTTCCGTTACTGAGCGATTTTGTCACCCGTGACACTACCACCCCTGCTGCTAAAGGAACTGCCCTCATGCGCGAGGAGAGGCACATATGGCGGAAGCAAGAAAGTCTTACAATAGAGTGCCGAAGTGATGACGTCACTTTGTAGGACAACTCGGAAGCTAGCAGCGCATGGGTTCCCTCGATCGAAAAGCAATGCATTTTCCCCATAGACTTTTGGAAAATCGCAAAAAAATAAGATGCGTTTAAAAAAAAGAGTTGTGACCCTTACATGTTTTGTCTATCAAGATAAGCTTTACAAGTTAATGCAAAATTTATAAATTTTGAAGCCTATATAAAGTTTTTGAAAAACACAAGCAGACACAATAAAGTTAAAAAAAACATAAGCAGGTTATAACTGTGTGTTCTAAGTCATAGATCAAAACGTGAAAATATTTAGAGGCTTTCTTCACCACAGACCTTATTTCTAGGGATGTCCCGATACCACTTTTTCACTTCCGATACCGATACCGATGCCGCAGCTTTGGCTTTTGCCGATACCGATATTAATCCGATATTTTTATTTTATTTTTAAACTAATAAAAAATATAGCAATTTTCTCAATTAGCCCCTTAAAATATACCTCCAGTGTGTGTATATATATATATATATATATATATATAAAAGAAAATGCAGGTACTTCAGTACTTAAAGCTAGCTATAGCTACCAACAGATTTAAAGTTAAAACAATATAAACAGCAGCATTCTACATTGTAAATACCAGTACAGTTTTTTTAAAGCAAGTAGAATTTCTATAATTGTGTGTTAAACTCATTATCACTCTGGTGTGTGTTAAACACAATCTACAGACAGCTTCATAATAAAGATAAACAACAAATCCCCAAAATATATGATCATAATCAATGACACAAAAAGCTATTATAAACTAGATTAGTGAATAATAAATATTGCTCTTTGTATTGTTGTAAAATACATTAATGAAAAACAATGTAACAAAAATGAAAAAGATAATTATTTTAGATATAGCCAAAGACTACTAAAAAATTGAGACATGTTTTAAGTGTACAGCACAGCTATTTAATGAGGCAGCAACATTAATAATTATTAATGTTAATAAGCTTTAATTGCGTCACTGCATTATGAATGACTCCAACACAGTGTGGCACAAAGCGCTTATGCGCATTCCGAGCGCAGAATGATGCGCTTGAAACCACGTGGAGTAACAGCACGCAGCCGAGTATGCACACTATAGTATGCACGCTGCGCGTCGAGTCCGCTTTGAAAAGTTCAAAGCACAACGGAAATATATATTGATGGACAGTGTATTAAACAGTATGTATCTATTAAATAGTTTATTGAGCCTTTTCTTTAAACAGTTTTAAATTTCAGTTACTATGCGCGTGAAGAACAATAGTGCTCTGACTCTAGTGTTGTGATCTAACCGACAGCGTCCGACACAATGGTAGAAAGTAACACGATTAAGTTACAGCAATAAAGTCCAGCAAGATAATGTTGTTTTATGCGAAAACATAGACCCTAATCTACAGATAAAGTATAATAGTATAAACATTGAATCATCTTGAAGATAGTTTCATCATTGACTGTAACCGAACGCGACGCGCTGTTTGAGTGCTGAATGGAGAATGACTGACAGCCGCGAGAGGAAAACGTTTACGTGATCCTGAATTTAATGACTTATATATTAACTTCTCTCTGACATAATGGCTTCAGAACACTTATAATAGAGTGCACGAAAAAGTCATGGTACTTTAGAATGTTTTTGTGCCTTCTGTGGGGCTTAACAATAACATAATAGTATACGCACAATATCGGATTTGGATCGGCCTCGTCTGATCGATACCCGATCCCGCAAAAATGGCTGGATCGGAGCCGATACCGATCCTGAGTATCGGATCGGGACATCCCTACTTATTTCAGGCGATTTAGCAAAAACCCATACAAAAATCCCATAAATTTTAGAGCGAGGGAACCGGTAGTGCTAAAATGCTAACTCACTTCCGCGTTTTGGCCTACAGAGTGACGGCCTACATAACTCTATTATGGCAGAGAAAAAGCAGTCAAAATTCCCAGTACCACCTGTAACTGCATTTACAGTCAGCGCAGGCAAACAAGGCAAAAAAGGTGATGTCACTCCATGCACTGCGCTCCTCTTAGGCCGTGTGTACACCAAAGCGTTTTTATCCAGCTGAAAACGCTAGACGCTCTGCTGAAGACGCCGTGCTTTGGGCGCTTGAGAGCGCTTTGGCAGCGCAGCGGTTTTTCTGTTGAGACGTTTCGTTGCTATGATACGGAATATATGCAGCAGTTTGAATGTTGTGACAATTGGTTGGTGTGGTTTGGTCCCGCCCCTCCTCCACTGTGATTGGACGGCTGGGTAAAATGTGACAGTGATGAGCGCTGCGTTTTATCCAAAGTTGAACATTTTTCAACTCCCAGCGACCAGTAAAAACGCTGGGCGCTCGGCGCTTCAGTGTGAAAAAGAACGCTCTGCGCCTCGGTACACTCACGGCGTTTAAAAAAACGCGGCACTCCCATTGAAAACAATTGAAAACATACGCCAGGCGCGTGGAAAAACGCTTTGGTGGACACACGGCTTTAGTGCTGGAAAACGCTCCTCAAGCTGAGCGGTTGGCACCACACGTTCATGCGTTTTGGGGGCGTGGCTTTGGAAGGAGCCCAGAAGGGATTGGGTACTTTCAAAATCCAGCCGTTTTCTGCTAATTTCTCAAACTTACCTACCCTGCCTTTAATGCCACAGAATATCCACTATTTGGTCATTTAACATATGAATGTTTTACTAAAACTATTCTTATTAACATGCATGTTTAATATGCAGTTGTTGTTTGGATAGCACGTGTTTTTATCATCGAAAAATTGCACAAATCAATATTTCAACTCGACTTCAAAATACCTATGTCGTTGTATTTTCACAACTCAGCTATATGACGTCTGCCTCTTGAAACTTTATAGCCTGAATCAGATCATGTTTTCAGGGAACACCCTTTACTGATACTTAAGTTACATAAAGCGATATATGACGTCTTGACTGAGCTGCTGAGCTCGAATACTACAGCGCAGATCAAGATACGACTTAAAAACAGTTTGAGCATCGGCGCTCGTGACACTTCAACCGTGCAGCACTCGAGAGCCACAATTAAAATCAGCAACAACGTTGCTGTGGTAACTGCAAAGCACTTTCTTTGACTTTGTTATAATTTCTAAAACGCCAACTGCCTGACATGTTACATTGTTGCTGTGTGACTCGGAACTGTCATAAAGAACATCCACAGCAGCGCAAACTGCTCTATCGGTCTGCCTTACCATGATCTCACTCGGCTACTTCCGGGATCCTGAGCGCAGAGGGGGTGAAACGGAACAGCCAATGTTATTCAGCACAGGCGGTTTCAAGCCGCCCACTTTGAGGGAAAAAGCACAGCGCAGACATTAGAGGACAGACAGCAGTTAAAACATTCGACAAAATAATATACACAACCGAAGAGAGAAAAGATCAGCGTCCACAACAAGGGGTTTTCTACAAAACTAAAGAATTGACGCATTTATTTCTAGCTATTACATTTTTTATTCTCATTTCTGGTCAAAACAGATTATTTGATTATGCATCCAACATTTCGATCCATAGTGTATTAAAAACATGTTTTTTAGTAGTAGGCCTAGCTAAGAGGGAAGGGAATAAAGCAAGGACCTTTAAAGGTCATATGTCTAAAGTTATAATAGTCTTGTAGTTATTAGCAACAAAAAGTATCTAGGACTTAAGAGAGGGCTAATTATTCATAATAATATCATATAACATACAGCAAGCAAGTTTTTCTGCTATCTGAATATATATATATATATATATATATATATGACACCTACTTTTCGCCACCCAATCAAATCCCTTTTTTTAATTGAATGCTATATATATATATATATATATATATATATATATATTAAGGCTGTCAAACGATTAATCGCGATTAATCGCATCCAAAATAAAAGTTTGTGTTTACATAATATATGTGGGTGCACTGTGTATAATTATTTTGTATATATATATATATATATATATATATATATACACACACAAGCATGTATATTTAAGAAAAAAATATTATTTATATTTAAAATATTTATATATAATATAAATATATATAAATCTATATACAGTATATACATGAAAATATTTCTTAAATATATACAAGCATGTGTCTGTATTTATATATATAAAATAATTATACACAGTGCACCCACATATATTATGTAAACACAAACTTTTATTTTGGATGCGATTAATCGTCCAACAGCCTTAATTATATATATATATATATAGGCTGCATCAGAAATCGCATACTTCCAGTCACCAGTCACCACCATCAACTTGCGTGCTAGCGAGTCTAGCTTTCGGGCTTTCCAGCCGCCACCACCAGTTTGGCGTGCTAGCGAGCCTAGTTTCGGGCTTTCTAGCCACCATCACCAGGTCGGCTTCAGCCTCCAGGCTTCTTAGCCACTACCACCAGGCCGGTTTTCAAGTTTCCAGCCACCACCATCGGGCCGGTTTTCAACGTTTCAGCTACCACCATCTGGCCAGCTTCCAGGTTTTCCAGCTTCTAAGGTTAGCGAATATGGCTCCCCCAAAGTTGAGGAGCACTGAAGAGGAATATGCAACTATTATTCATGTAAATGAACTGTTACAACAGCAAAAAGATATGTTCATGGCCCTGTTACAGCAGCAGCAGGAAATGTTCAAGGATTTTGTTAAAATTATTATGGACTCAGTGAACACCAGAATGGATAATGCTTTTAAGGAATTACAAGAGCTAAAAGCAAGTTTACAATACACACAGAAGGATGTAGACGATCTTAAAGTCACTCAAGCTAAACAGTTGGAACATGAAAAAATCACAGAAACTGATTTAGTGAAAATTTACGAGAGTATACAAGTTATGTGTGAAAAACAAGAACATCTAGAAAGTCAATCAAGAAAAAATAATATTGTGATTGATGGAGTTCCTGAATCCACTGGCGAATCCTGGGCAGACTCTGAAGAAAAAGTGAAGGACATTTTGAAGCAGAAACTACAACTACAAAGAGACATGGAGATGGAGCGAGTATACCGTATAGGAAAGTTTGATGCTGCTAGAAGTAGACCGAGATCTATGGTTGTTAAATTTTTGAACTTCAAGGACAAAGTTGCTGTTATGCAAAGAGTAAAGAACCTCAAGGGCACAAAAATTTTCATCAATGACGACTACACGGATGCTGTGCGGCTAAAAAGAAAGGAATTAATGCCAAAGTTAAAAGAAGCACGGGATAAAGGCAACGTTGCCTACCTCAGACACGACAAACTTATTATCCACTCCCGTAATAGCACCCCTGAGTAACTTCTGCGCAACTCTTGAGGTATGATAGCACATTAAACTCATGTACTCATTACCAAGAAAAGGTTTAAGACTAGCACATATTAACATAAACAGTCTTAGGAATAAAATTAACGAAGTTGCTGAACTGCTAAATAAGTTTAAAATACACATTCTTGCTATCTCAGAGACCCACTTAGACTCATCTTTTGATGACACAGAACTATATATTGAAGGTTACAACATATATAGAAATGACAGAAATGGTTTTGGTGGTGGAGTTGCTTTTTATATTCTGAGTCATTTACCAGTAAAGTTAAGAACTGATTTAATGAGTTTTGATATTGAAACATTGTGGTTGCAAATGCATCTACCTCATCGAAAGCCGACTCTTTTGTGTTGCTGCTATCGACCACCAAGTGCGAATTATGAATATCTTGACTCTATGTGTAAAATGTTGGATATGAATACTAATGCAAGTCAGGACATTTATTTTATGGGTGACTTGAACATTGACTGGTTTGCTAAAGATTGCCACTTGAAAAGAAAACTGTTAACAACTACAAATGCATGTGGACTTACTCAACTGATAAATAAGCCCACAAGAATATGTTTCAAGAATGATGGCTCTAGAACATCTACTTGTATAGATCATATTTTTACAAACCGTCCTGAACTATGTAAAAAGATACTGTCTATTCCTACTGGTAGCAGTGATCATAATTTGATAATTTCTGCGTTGACAGCCAAGCTGAGTGGATCAGGAAATGCAGTCTTATTAAAAAGATCGTATAAGTTGTTTAAAGATGACAAGTTTATTGAAGATGTTCAAGCTATATGCTGGTCTGATGTGTTGGCTGCTAGTAACCCAGAAACGGCTCTATTTATATTTAACAAGCTATTCTTGTCATTGATTGATAAACATGCACCTTTAAAGAAGTTTACTGTTAGAAACAAAGTCACACCTTGGTTGGATGATGAATTGAAAAAGTCTATGCAAATAAGATGTCAAATGAAAAGAACAGCAGTTAATACAGGAAATAAATGTGATTGGGACCTATATCGCAAAATGAGAAATTCTGTTGCTAAACTTAATAAAAAAAAGAAGAAAATCTATTTTGAGAATCATGTTAAAAACATAGGTAATGATAATAGAAAGTTATGGAATGTTCTAAATCAATTGTCTGGTAAGAAAAATAAAGTAAATCCATCTTTTTTGGAAACAGGGGATAAGTTTATAACTAAGCCTACAGATATTGCAAACCATCTTAATGATTATTTTATAAAAAAAGTAGATAAACTAAGAGAAAATATGCCTACTCTAAGTAATGATATATCTCATTTATTAATAAGAAATAAATTGATGAAAAATAAAAACTTAAGGTTTGAATTACAAAGGGTAAATATAGATCAAGTAAAGTATCTTTTAAAAACCTGCAAAAATAAACCACCAGGTGTCGATGGTCTTGACAGCAGGCTTCTGAAACTAGCTGCTGACTTTATTGCCCCTGCTTTAACTCATATTATTAACCTTAGTTTTAGCTGCTGTACCTGCCCACAGGCATGGAAGCAGGCTAAAATAGTTCCTCTGCCAAAAGATAAAAAACTGTCTTTCTCTGGATCCAACAGTCGCCCGATAAGTATATTACCTGTGTTATCTAAAATACTTGAGTCTATAGTACACGATCAAATTAATAATTATTTTTATACTAATGATTTATTAACAGATTTTCAACATGCATACAGAAAAAGTCACTCCACTGCCACTGCACTGACTCACATGTCAGATGACTGGCTTAGAGAGACTGAAAAGAGAAATATTACAGGTGTTGTATTTTTAGATTTTTCTGCTGCTTTTGACATCATAGATCACGACCTGCTATTAACAAAATTATCTTGTTATGGTTTTGAGAAATCTGCAATCACGTGGATGTACAGTTACTTGTCAAATAGAACACAGACAGTGTTTTTTAATGGCAGTCTCTCAGGTATCAGAAATATTACATGTGGAGTACCCCAAGGTAGTTGTCTGGGTCCATTATTATTTAATATTTTTACGAATGATTTACCATATATTTTACGGAAGGCTAACATTGTTATGTACGCTGACGATTCAACTATATATACATCAGCAAGTACACAAATGGAATTACAAACGGTTTTAAATAAAGAATTACAATATGTAGTAGATTGGGTCGAATTAAATAAATTGGCATTAAATATTGTAAAAACTAACTGCATGATTCTAGGTTCAAATTATAATATTAATAAGAATCCTGTAATTAATATTAAGATTAACAACACAGTTATTGAACAGGTGCATGAGACTAGACTGCTGGGCGTAATAGTTGACTCTAGATTATCATGGAAAAAAACATATTAGTAATATTATTGCAAAAATGGGAAGAGGTATATCCATTATGAGAAGACATGCAAATTTCTTAACTTCGAATATTAGGAATTATGTGATGAAAGCACTAATATTGACATATCTCGACTATTGCCCAGCAGTTTGGTCAAATGCCACTGGGGAATATATGAATAGATTACAACTTATACAGAATAGAGCCGCTCGTGTAGCACTTAGGTGCAGCTATAGGAGAAATATAATATTAATGCACAAGGATCTTAATTGGTTATTGGTTGAAGATAGATTGTTGTATTCATTGTTAATTTTTATAAGAAATATTTCTAATTCAAAATTTCCTTCTGTCTTGTTCAAGCATCTTTCTTTCAGTGTAGAAAATCACCAGTATAGTACTAGGCATGCAACTAAGGGTAATTTTACTTTACCCATAGTAAGAACAAATGCCATAAAAAATACTGTTGTGTTTAGAGGTATGAAAGAATGGAATTATTTGCCAAAACATATCCTGCTTACTAATGATGCCAATAAATTCAAATTATATGTAAAACAACATTTGTCAAAATATTATAACTGAATGTTTATATTTATTTAGATATGTGTGCGATTATGTATGCGTGTAGGTAGGTTTATAGGTGTAAGTGTATAATATGGTTTTATATTTGTGTGTATTTTTATACCTGTATGGGGGTACATATGTATGTCGATATGTGTTCATATTGTATATGTATTTGTATTATGTGTTTGTGTATTTTCTTTTAATGTACATACTTTTTTAGGACCCCAGGAAGAATAGCTGCAGCATTGCTGTAGCTAATGGGGATCCTTTCAATAAAACAATAAAACTTCCGCATAAATCGAAAACAGCATGTGACAAAAGAAGTATGTCCAAAAAAGTACCCGGATGGCCTACTTCTTCCGGCAAGATTCTGAAGTGTGCATACGATGGACACTTTACTATCCCATGTGGCCAGGACCCAACTGACGATGTAAATCACATGATAATGACAACATGGCAAATGTAGAACGTCCAGATTACATTCATACTATATAGAAAGTACTTTTTTTAGTGATTGTGAAGTAATTACTTATTCAAAATAAGTACCTACTCAAGAGAGTATGCCATTTTGAACACAGCCAATGGCTGACCTGCATACTAGCATACTAAAATTACAATTTCTGCCATATATGTTAGTAATACTATTATGCTATTCCTAGTGGCTACGGCCTACCTGACACAGGTGGACAAGAGAAGCCATTTCAGAAAAGTGTATTGTATTTTGATCAGTTTATGAAACATTTTCTTTTCTTTTGAAAATCACGCAATAAATGAGTCATTCACAATAAGACGAGGCATGTGCATTATGAAAGTAATAAGTAAATAGTCCAAATTTGATTTGATGTTGACTCACATTGTCCGTGTTTACATGCGCAAGAATATTCTGATAGCCTAATATTCTGATAGCCTACTTATGGTCCTATTATGTATAAGCTTTATGTAAACAAACCAGATTGCCATAAGAAAATAAGGCCAATATTCCAGTTTTTAAACATCAAAATAAAGTCTTTACTTCAAAATATAGAAAAGATATCCCAAATCCCATATTTTAAATATCCCCCATTCATCTATATTATGTATCATTTTAAAGTATTTTTCAGAATAAAGACTAAACCAGAAACCTGGTTCATGCCCTACTTTAGTTTTACATTGTCATCCATTTGTCTGTGAATATTTTAATACTCAAGTTGTATCCAACACAGAATACAAATACTAGCTGATTCATAAAATACATTATGCATGTTTTAATTGTCCCAAACATTTTTTTACTTTTTCTATTTTGCTGTCTAAACTATTAGTGCTATTCGTCAACTTTTTAGAAGATAAACAAATACGATGCACAAACATTGCACTGTACTTTATGAAAATAATTGATTTGTACGACCCAAACAGTCTTTTTTCAATCCACACTTCATTCAGAAGCTGAAGAATCCGCTCCACATTTGCCATATCGCTTTAAATTTGGCCAGTGACAGTAGAGGGTGTGATTGCTAGTGAGGGGAACAGCCAGTTGTTTAAAATCCCTCTCAGTACGGTTTCAAATTCCCCTCAGTGCCGGGTAAAACGAAGTGTGTGTATGTGTGTGTGTGCTTGTTTCACAGGCAGAGTGCTGGAGATAAGAAAGGGGTTGTGTTTCTGTTGGGGCGGAGCCGAGTAACTGTCACTCACGCTAGTTACCCAACAAAATGGGCGTTCCTTCTCGGCGCTCTGACCAATGAGAGGAATCGCTCCTGTAGTCACCATGGTGACGGGGTTGTGTCCGGGGAGGCTGTGATGGGTTGACAGGTGCGTGACAATCGGAGCTCTCTGCAAGCATGTACGCCAAAGGCAAGAGTAACAACGTACCGTCCGACAGCCAAGCGAGGGAAAAGTAAGTTTTATTTATGAGGGTGGGGGGAATCTCTATAATGAAGACAGCGCGCGGCCAGACTTTTAACAAGCAGCGGACGCGTTCTGTTGCTCGGATGCTGTGTTGTGTCTGACAGTGCATGTAGTTCGTGCAAGAAAGTTGTTGTCAGTTATCAGTCACGCGCTGGTAGAATTTCTTGAGTCTAATTAACGCGACATGTCGTCATTAGTAAACGGGCAGCACGCGCAGAAGTTAAAAGATGCGAAAACTAAACTTGTGGACTATCGATAAAAAAGAGTCAAAATCTTATTTCTGCATTAGTAATATATTTATTTATTTACCTACGCAAAGTTGCCACGGGTAACGAAACGCTATATAGCAATTTCAAGGATTTCAACTCATTTAGTATTGGAGTAAGGTGAGTACATAAGATTCTGGCTTTAAAGAAAAGTGCATGAAATATACAGTACGTACCCGTTATAAGTTTAAATGCCCATTTCAACCGTTACAAGTGTAAATGCCCATTGTAGTGCTCCAGTCAGGTGAGCTGCATTTCGGGGAAACAAGTTTATTGTAGCGGTCCGTTGTGCTGTTTCACTGTTCTGTGCGCTCGCGGGAGAGAGTGTGATTGGCGTTCGGTTCTGGTCTGAAGAGTTCATGCGCACGCGAGTGCAGTAATAGCGCGCGCTATAAAACGATTGACGTTTTAGTTTGAAAAGTTCCAGCGCGTGCGAGTTTGACTGACCTGTCATAACTATGGAACTTTTCGCGCTGTGCACGTCACTCATACTCCCTCACGTGCGCTACATAATCAAATACACAAGCGTTCTACCGAAGCCCATCGCGCGCAGTGACTTCTTGTTTGTGGCACTGGCAGTTATATAAGATTTTTGGCTGCGCGTGAGTCTCTGAGGATGCTGATGGCACGACGAGAGGTCCGTTGATCCGAGAAGAACATTTGCCTGTATCATATATTACACAGTTATTATGGGTATGTTAGTTCGTTTGATAATGACACAAACGGAATAACGTAAAGAACGACTAACTGTTAAATAGGGAACGATTGAGTTGGAATGATCTTGAAATGATGCCCAGTACACTTATAACGGTCTTCTGAGGGGATCTGTTTATGTAGGGTGTTCCAAAAATACCTTTATAATGATGAATATATAGCAGATGTAGACTGTTTGTGTTAGAAATTTCTTATTGAAGTGTGTTTGGCCTGTTGTGGAGAATGTTTGTAAGGAGCTTTCAAAATGAATATCCTAAGTTTAAAGGGATGGTTCACCCAAAAAAGAAAATTCTGTCATCGTTCTTATGTAACCTCATAACCGTATGTTGTCCCAAGTCAGTATGTTTCTTTTTTTCTGTTGAAGAAATTTTGAAGAATTTTGGTAAGCACTAAGCAGACACCTGACTGGTTCGTTGACTGGAACCATTGACTTCCATAGTAGGAAAAAACTCTATGGTAGTCAATGGCTACCATCAATTATTAATTGTTGGATTCATACAGTTTTGGAACAAGTGCTAGTGCATGTATTTAAAAAAATTGTTATATTGAAGTGTATTTGGCTTGTCATTATGGAGATTTTAGACATGGACATGGGAACTTATTTGACGTGTCAGTCAGTGTCACTCATTGTCACTGATTTCCTGCTGTTTCAAACTATTATTATACTGTCTGCCTTAGTTGTCAGCTTGAACATGTTTGTAACGCACACAGTTTTGTCTTCCTGCAGGGAGGTCTTGTCTTGAAGTAATTAGCAATTATTGCAGTTTCATTCAGGCCAGTGTCTTATGGGACATGTGTGGACTTGTGGTTTCGATGAAAACTCTTCAGCATTAGATTTGAGCTTGAGAAAGCAGTTTTGCTGGTTATGAGATGTTCTTACAGCTTTTTGCTTTTGCTAAGTGAATTTGTCCGCTTTTTGTGGTTCTTGTACTGTGAATGCTTTAGGATTTCAAAAATATATATATATTGTTGTATGTTTCTGCAGGGGCGTGTCCAGGATTTTATACTTGGGATGGCAGGGGAAATAAGGGGAAATGATCAAACATACCTACAACAGTTCCTAACTAAAAATTTACTGTACACGGATGTTTGATTCCTCTACAACAGGGGTCTTGATAGCATTTGGCCAAAATGTATATAAGCTAGCTTATTAAAGTGTAATCACCGAGCTAGCTAATGTGTTGAAAAAACATGTGATTGACTGTGTGCTTCTGTGCATCAAAAGGGTACAATATTGAACTATTAACAATGTTTTAAACAATGGAGGGGTGATATGGAAGCTTATCATCATCAATCTTGCTTGTTATAAAGTCAGAATTGTGAGATATAAAGTCAGAATTGCTTGTTATAAAGTCAGAATTGCGAGATATAAAGTCAGAATTGTGTGTTATAAAGTCAGAATTGCGTGATATAAAGTCACAATTGCATGATTTAAAGTCGCAATTGCGTGTTATAAAGTCAGAATTGCGTGACATAAAGTCAGAATTGCTTGTTATAAAGTCAGAATTGCGAGATATAAAGTCAGAATTGCGTGTTATAAAGTCAGAATTGTGTGTTATAAAGTCAGAATTGCGAGAAAAAAAGTCAGAATTGCGTGTTATAATGTCAGAATTGCGAGATATAAAGTCAGAATTGCATGTTATAAAGTCAGAATTGTGAGATATAAAGTCAGAATCGTTTGCTATAAAGTCGAAATTGCGTGTTGTAAAGTCTGAGGGCGAAAACAGTGAGTCTTTTTCCCCTTAGAATTGGCCTGATAACTCGCAATTGCGACTTTATATCTCACAATTCAGAGAAAAGATGTCAGAATTTCGAGATTTAAACTCGCAATTATGTGTTATAAAGTCAGAATTTCAAGATGTAAACTCGCAATTGTGATAAAAAAAGTCAGAATTGTGAGATAAAAATTCTCAATTCTGTCTTTTTTCTCATAATTGCGACTTTATATCTCGCAATTGCGACTTTATTTCTCACAATTCTAACTTCATATCTTCATCTTCATATCGCAATTATTATTTTTTTTTTATTCAGTGGCAGAAACAAGCTTCCATAGGGTGAAGATGATGAACACTGCCCCAATAAATATTTAGTTTGTGCTGACATTTTGAGGTGACATTAATAGATGTCACAACTAATATTGTGTTGATTTGGCTATTTTTCCACAGGAATGCACGTTTAGTCTCTTGAAATCACTGTGAATAAGAATTAATTTTTTTATACAGTCACACCTGCCAGAAAATGCAAGTCACATAAAATGTTTGCTTTGGTATTTGTGGAGATTCTCACTTACTCATCTCCGAGGGCCCGGTTCTATGAAAAGCAAGAGCACTTTTAGTTGAAACTGTAATAATGTCATATTGACGAAACAGATTTGGTAAACAGTGCGTATTTGTGTTTGTGTCATAGGTTTCTGCAGCATTGAACAATGTAGCCAATCACAGATGTCTCTTGATCTTTTGATGGCCATTCAAGGCCTGTTCACACCGGGACGAATTTCGAGCGCGATATTCGTCGACGTTTAACGCCTCGTGACTTAACAATGGGCGCCAATGTGAGTGTTCACACCGACGCGAAAAACGCCACGCGTAAAAGCGTCATTTTTAAAAAAAACGCCTCAGGTTCGTTTTTTTGGTTTTTTGGCAACGAGATTGGCCGGTTTGCTCACGTGTCAGGTAATTCTGAAGTTACAGTAAAACACAATTTGGGGGCGCTCAAACACAAAACGATCTTGCCGAGCACACATACGGCGAAGAAGTACCTATGGGCAAGATGAAAGTTGAGCCGCTGGTCTCTGAGCATAAAGAGCTATATGATAATATTTATATTAGTATTTCAGTAATAATAGTATAGGGTGACCAACAGTCCTGTTTTCCCGGGACATGTGTAAAACGGTCACTTTGTGCTTTATAGAAATCTGAGTTGAGATGAGAACTGCGCATAGTGTGCATAGTGTCAGTTAGATTTTGACAAGTGAGGAAAGGAGATAACCGCTTTGCCGACTCTTTGTATTCTTTATTTTATTTTATTTTTCTATTGTGACCAGATGTTTGTTTGTGTTTTTTTTTTCTCACTCGATCCCCATGTATGAGGACGAGTGTAACGTTTGAGTGGTTTTATTAAACGCGGGGAAATACGACAACTCTCGACTCTCATGCATCTGTTCATCCGACAACTAGTGCTATGGTTTTATCTCTGGACGTTTTTGTAAGTTTGTGAGAGCTATTTTTTGTTACATTTGGAGGCATTTCCTTTAGTTATTCATTATTTATATATTTATTTTTCTAATACAGAAGATATTATTTCTATCATTATTTCATTCGTGTTTTTATCTGTCATAATAAAACATTGAGACATGAATATGATCACCCTAGTATGTATTCTATTATTATTTCTGTTTTACATTAAGCGCCATCTAATGTGAGGGAATGAATTTGCATGTCACTCGGCTCATCGTCAGCGAAAAACGCTTGGGTGTGAACACAAAAAAACGCGTTGAAAAACGCTGACGAATAACGCGCGCTGATATTCGTCCCGGTGTGTACGGGCCTTCAGAGTTGTTAAAGTTGCGCAAAAATCCTTGTTGTACTTTTTTGTGAATGTGTGTGTGTGAATCCTCTCATAACAAAGTGCAGACACCATGTAAATAAGAGTTATTAAGATTAATACTACAATCCTATTTACTTTATATTACTTTGTGAGATCACAATAAACTGAGAAGTAAAACTTTCTTAGAGTGCATAAGTAACAGCGTAAGTGAATCAGCACGCTCTCTCTCTCTCAAAATGCACAAACGACTTCACGTCTTCACATTCATCGCATCTGTACTCGAGAGCTGCAGTTGGCACAATAATAGTCACTTTCCAAATCGGGACAGTGTCACCAAAGTTAATCATTTGCACATCTTTTCAAACCATGCCAATTTAAACATTCGAGTGATTTCAAACCATACAGCACTCACGCGCGAGACTGTTTTCTGAGCGCTAGCACTTAAAGGGTTAGTTCACCCAAAAATGAAAATTAAGTCATTAATTACTCACCCCCATGCTGTTCCAACCCCGTAAGACCGTCGTTTATCTTCGGAACACAAATAAAGATATTTTTGATTGAATCTGAGAGCTGGATCAGTCCTACATAGAAAGCCTAAGGGACTGGCTCTTGACGGCCCATAAAGTCATTAAAGAAAAGGTTTAAATGTTCCATGTGCCTACAGCGGCTCAATTATAAGTTTATCAAGCGACGAGACTACTTTTTGTGCGAAAAAAAACACAAATAACGGCTTTATTCGACTATTCTATTACTTCCTTATTGGCGCATGCGCGAGAACTGAGACGAGGACGTTCTTCTCCTTCGACTTCTTTTTGTTACCGGGAAGTAATAGAATAGTCGAAAAGTCGTTATTTATGGTTTTTTTCGCACAAAAAGTAGTCTCGTCGCTTGATGAACTTATAATTGAGCCGCTGTACCAAACGGTTCAAGGTCCAAATGAGAGTTTCAATGCCGCTTCAAAGGGCTTTAAACGACAGACCATGAATACAGGTCTTATTGTTTTTGTTTTGTGCATTACATCAATTTGCGAGGCGTGTCAACTTTAGGGTGACAAACCTCATTTTTAGGGTGGCA